AAAAGAATATTACACTCTTTCGGTCATTTTTTCACCAGGAGTCAATCATAGACGCGGATACTGAGATACGAGAAGTGAAAATGGAAGTGAATTACAGGCATTACTGCGCGCTCTTTCTATCGATAATGCATTCTCCATCTGGTTCCAGGCCCACACGATGCATATACGCGTTATATGCACCATGCATAAAACTATTATGTCATAAGCTACGAGGCATAGAGGCCATTCACGAGGAGTTTACACTTGCGGGGTTTCGTTGGGAGTTCCGCGTCCACGTAGGTTGTCTTGAAACTGTACGGTTGGATTAAATGTATATACCAGCCACGCACGCAGTCTCGTCTGAGAACGTACGTATGGGAAGATGTGCAACATGAAAATTCAAACCGGGAACATTATTCCTTTACCAAGAGAAATCCACCGAAATCTGATTCAACGTGTAAGTGGACCGATACAGTCCTAATAACATTTTTAAAAAAGGGAAATATTGCTTTTTCATCCCTCAAAATTACTAGAACGAGCTTCTAAAGTTTAATCACTTACTTCTGGAACACACGGTGTATAGACACACTTCATGTAATCTAACGAAATTGTAGAAACTAAATAGGCAACCGCGACCGACTGCGTTCGAACGATCGATCAACGACTAATGGACATTTATTAATGTCCTCGAACGCGGAAAAATCCTCGACGGGAGAAAATTTCAGTTTTCGCTTATGCAACGGATTTCTTATATAACGACACAGCTGAGAGTAACGCTGGGACACAATCGTGAAAGCGTGAGAATGATTTTCTATCCTGTCCTCACCGAACAATTAGATCTATCGACATAATGAATGAAGCTGAACCTGAACGAAGAATATTCTACACCTCGGGAACGAAGCGATCCGATCTCTTCGTGGGCTCCCCCGTTCTTTTCCCATGGAATGATAATTTTGTCGTTATTAATTTACAAGTAATTATGTCAATTAGCAAGTCGAACGATTCCTACCTTGGTGTGAAGGAACGCCAACGACTTGTTCACGTTCTCGATTTTGTGTACTCGCATACGGCCATTATTGGGCTTGGCCAGTCGTTCGCCGGAAATGATCTCCAGCAGCTTCAGTAGCTTTTTACCGTCCGCAAGATCCGTGAACAGATCGTCCACTTCCATACGCGCCTGCCAAGTGAAAGTAATTGATTTAACGTATATTAACGTGAATGTCTCTATGCGACATTTTATTTTATAAGGTAATTTTGTAAACCGAAAATGTTACCTTCAAGAGGAACGAGTTGATCCATTTGGTGAACGTCTTCTTCTGTATATGCAGACGTTCCTCCTGCAGGGCCTTTATTCGGCCCTGCTCGAACTTCAGTACGTCCTCCCTCTGAGTCATTCTCTTTTGTATATCTGGACCACCCCTGTATCGGTCGGCTCTCGTGGGTGGATGGTTCGGTACGTATTCGATGTTGAAGTTCCTGTTTTGGGGTGCGGCGCCAAGCCCAGCGCCGGGCACATACTGTGCCCCTGAAAGACAAACATTTCGTGCGCGTTAGAACAGATTGCCTCCTACGGAATCGAGAAAGAGATAAACATCCGCCGACGGAAACGGAAATCGCTCTCTGCACTCGGATGAAATATGCATTTAACACCACGTGGAACATACACATTGCATTCGAGAGAGTCGAATGGGGCTTCGTTATAACATTTATAACTATTATTACCTCTAATACAGGAATTATTTTTTAGTATTGGTAAATTCAATATACTATGACCGATTCATTCGAGCGGCTATATTTTATCCGTTGCAGCAATGGACCGTGCGTTGTTATTTCTTCGAGCTTAAAGCCAGAAGAACGATGGCAGTGGCCTGGCAGAACGATGATTTGTTCGGTTCCGCAAATCATGAATATTCCCGGCAACCACCACGGCACGCCATGACGGAAGGAACAAGCGATTTATGCCCGTGTCCACGTTTATTCGGCCGTTGGTCTGCCCTTGTACGGCGGGAAAAAATTTATGACAGAGACTCTGCGCCGCGGATCGCGACAATAAACCGAGGACAATGATCCTGTCGAGTCACCGTGCCGACCAGAGCCTCGTGTGTACGTAAACCTTTTCTGCACTTGTTCTTCTTCACCCTTGTGGCGTGTTTTATCACTGTCGATGGGTGACATGTTCATTTTCTCTACGACCACGAGAAAAAACAGCGAGGAAGATTACACGAACCATGGGACAGAGGATTTAGCCAACCGTCCGAGTCGAAACGAACACAGGATTTTTAATTAATACGGAATACTTCGAGCCGGAAACTCGTTTGTAAATGCTAAGCCTTGCTTCACAAGGTGTCGCGATGTTTATCCGAATACTTTTTTCTTTTCTTTACGCCCATCGTTAATTCGCGCATGAAACCGAACTGAACGAGCAGGGACACACAGCTGATCGTAAAATGTTTTTATTCTTATTTTACAGTTACTCGAGGTATCAGAGAATTTCAAAAAACATAATATTTTCAGACGCATCCGAGATCGAAAACAGTCATCCTTTATAAATCCATCTAACAGGAAGAGTTACGGCGTGGCTCGGATTAGCGTGGCGAAGTCGAGATTACCGAACAATCCTGAAGAATTTGATTCTTTGCATTCTCGAAAAAGAGAAAATAATAGACACCAGACGAGGCAGCATTTATGATATTAAGTTATCGAGAGTATTTCGAGCTTCCGCAGTATCTGTAGGACGATAAGATATCTGGGAAAAGAACCACTTCCATGGTCCTAGGAATAGGAAAACGCCATTTGTAACAGAGGTCGTTCGTGATCACGTGTTTTCTTTGGTGCTGCCGATGATGACGTTGTTCCTATTTGTTTAAGCACAGAATACAACAATATCTCGAAAGATTGCTCAATGACGATAAGTTTCTGATAAATTGTTCGATTACAAACACGGTGGAGTATCAACGCGTGTGTAGAACTCGAGGAACGCATCGAATTCGATGTGTCCTAAAAAATATTTTTTTCATTCTTCCGATTCGTCAATCAAGACCGTATTTATTCTTATAAAATTCTCTGTACATTCTGTACACCGAGTTACGAGCATTTCAGAGGACTCCTTTAATTAATAACATACGACTGTATCACATTTCACACTTGTGGAATATCCGCTCCGGAACTCGGCTGAGCTTGTTATAGTCTCAAGGCTAACTGTACAAACGTGTTTCGCAAATTGGTTTAATAAACATTGCAAGTCGAGACCTTCTGTAAAGGTTTACACAGATGGATAAATTCGTTTCATTCTAACGTGTTTACTAAAATCCCTAACCACCACCGATCGACGGTTTCATTCCGTGAGAAAAAAACAAATGGCTGTAGACTAATTCCGCGTACAATATTGACTTTTCATTAATTACAATAAATAATACAATCGCGGCGAAACAACGCTTGGCTCGATCGAGTTATTAACGTGCGTCATTTCCATACAATTGCCACCAACTGAAACTAATAAATACTATCGTCGACTCGGAACCTGTAAGCCGCAAATATGCAATTTAAATGACACCTCGCATAATTTCGTGTGGTTACCATCAGTTTCCAGCAAATATTATCGAGTGTCCGCCGCAACAACAACGTCTAAATAATTCAAAATTATCTGAATTTTAACATTACAGCTGCATTAACATAATGAATACACTCTTACTGAATTCCCCTCGGACCGTCTGAATATTTATCCGCGTGCACAATTAGTTGTAATCACACGAATGACTGTCGGAATTATTTGCGTAGTAAAGCAAGCACGAAATTAAAGGGGAACCAGGATGACCAATATCATTTCTACGTTAAATCCAGATTGAATTTCCGTTAATTCCTGGAGAGGATAAGGTTCCACGAGGATGACGTTTCCATGCTAATGAAGAAAGATCAGGTATATACACGGTGGTTAGATCTCGTTCGCGTTCAGAAGCGTGCCGATAGACGTCCGAACCAACAGACCAACGACAAACAGGTAACACCGGAGATTTGATTAGAGTACTTAGGCGGACTCGATGGGGCCGGTCGTTCCTAAGCTGTTGGAAACCACGTAACGCGATTGTAACACGTGTGTGTACGTGTTCCTCGGTTTTCCCGAGCGTGACGAGGCCCCGCAGGCGCGTTCGCTCTTTTCGCGCAAATCACGGCTGCAAGGTGAACGTGAAAATGTATGAAATGCTCTTTCTAGGATGAAAGAGAGAGAGAGAGATCGGTAAGGTCTCTTTAGGGATTACTGGCATCTCTGTGATTGCGACGGTAGTTCACGCGTTTTCAGCTGGAGGGCCACTGGAAACGAATTGTTTCGTGCAGGTACACCAGGTGAACCAATCAATTCTATCTACAAAACGATTTAAAAATGTTTCATAGGACCACCAATCTGTGCCTGAAGTCGTAGAAGATCTCTAGAGGGTCTAGAAAAAGCAAGTAAGGGTTTACTAAGATTTTCGAGAGAATTGAACCTTCCCTAAGGGCACCAGAGACTAAAGTTATACTGGGGACGCTTCTGAAGATTGCTTAGAAGTGTCCACTGTCTAGAATAATGGACACCTGAACTGAAGACCGTACCAAAGATCCCCGAAACCTATAAGAAGTATAAGAGATCCAAATGAAAGAAGACAAAGCGAGTTTCACGTTCCTATAGATATGAAAAGATTAAAGCCACATATCTAACTAATAGAAAGAGTCACCCGTTACGTACCAAGGTCTAATTACAAGGAATGCGTGGCGGCACTTAATACTACTCAGTCTTATCTACTCGGATAAAGTCAATAAACAGGTGCGGTTCGTAGGGATTAATCTCTGTTTCCCGATGTACCAGAAAATACTTTTTTTCACACCTACACGTTGGCCATTCTACGATAAAGTTATCTAGCCTTCCAGAAACGACAACCTTCGGGCCAGTTAAAGCCAGGGGTTTAGAAAATCTCACAGAACTGTACTATCTGAAGCGTATCGATAAACTGATAGTGCGTACCGTAGTAATTTCGTGACATTATATTCTTTCGATCCCTTCACTGGACACTGGTCTGCACGATCATTACTCGTTTCGTTAAAAAATCTCTCTCGAAAAACAAAATCACAGAGGAGCGTTTAAACGTTCGCGAATGGCGACACCGGACTGATTCAGCTGTTAACCAAAGACCACTGACACACAGGCCCCTGGTGTTATCGCGTATCGCGAGAGTGTTGCGACCACCGTTCCTTCGTGTCGTTGAGCCCAAGTACAAGCGTGTATACGTGTGATGCTCTCCTCCCACCTACGCCGGGAACAGAGTTTCGCCCAGTGGCTCGTATCCATCGCGAAAAACGAAGCGTTCGTCGATGGAAGTTGGTCTGTGTGTTGGGAACGGTTAGTGTTTAGATAACTGGTCATTTGGTCATCGAGGGGACCCAAAGAACCTATTCGAATCTCCCTTTCACCGAGACATAACGCGCGAACTTCTTCGCAGAGGTTCTAACCAGGAAGAGAAACCAGCTAAGGCTCGAAGAAGTTGCTTAAAAACAAAATAATTCTCTGAACAGAACGAAATGTTACTTCATGTTTACATTGTTTTTTCCCTTTTTATATTAAGTAATAATGTATTCTGAATTTGTTCGTTGATTCAACAGAGGATCCAAGTAGCTCGACGCCTATTCACTGACAAGCTTAAATGGCGGTCGATGTATCCGTGGATGAGACACAGTGTCGAGTCCGAATCGTTTCGTAGCCGACTGTATACGAATTGTGTTTAATTACCAGTCGCGACGGTTTTATAAGAGAATGGATGCTTCTGACGTATACCGGGTTAGAATCAGATTTGCATATGTTAACTGGACGAGCCTCATAGGCGTAGGAGTGTGTTCCTAGTCTTCTTCTGAGAACGTTTCGAGGATAGAAGTCGAGTCATTCGCGGCTTTACAAGACATGATGTCAGTCACGTAGTTCTGCAAATAAATTTTTACGATATTTGTCATTGTGCGATGCAACCTGCGGATACTTGGAACTGGTAAATGGAACCGGAAACGGGAGGTCAACACGGAAACACGGTGAATGGGCTAAAGGGACCGGAGTAAAGTATACACGATTCAAAGTCAATCGATTGCGACGTGGTTGAAACGAAAATGATTTTATTTCGAATAATTTCAGAAGTTAGTATTCTGCGTTGCAAGGGCCGAGTCCACGATACTTTATCCAGCTGAACACGCAGCTTCGTATCGGTATAACATGAGAACACGACTCAGGTTGTAAAACGCAGATATACTCGGACGAGATTAATACATTGATTACCAACGAGAGAATTAAATGCGACTAAAAATAACACTGGTAGTTGGAGAATACTGGAATGCCAACAACACTTTCTCGATTCATTATGGCGTACAGTTGTTTCGCGACAGGACAGGTATCCAACTGGCTGCTAAATTACTCCAAGAATTATTATATAATTGATTATAATTAACTACGAAGCAATAGGTCCCCAAGAACTGAAATTTTCCAACTGTTAACACGTGTTCCATAATCACTTTTACAATCTTAGATGGCTAATTCACTAGGATCAGGTACAACCGATCGATTGCAAAAGAATTTCAAACTCTATCTAGATGTTGCAAACCCTTCGGAGTTTCTCTGTTTCCAGCGTGGCGCATCCACCGTACTTCCGGTAGAATCTCGGTACTTCCTATTCGGCGAGCGATTAAACGAGTTCATACGGTACCTATGCAGCCGAACCTGAACGATGAAAGTTAACAGACGGCAGTGAAAATTGTTGCCTCGAAACATTACCAAGGAAGTAATTAAAGATTTACGCGATTCGTCGCGAGATATAGCGTCATATTTGTAAATAAAATGAGCTTCCCCTAGTCCTTGGATATCTTCTTACTTTCTATCGTAGTCACATTAATTCGATTCTCCGCGGAAACCATTGTTCGATCGTATTTAATAACTATTTCGAACAAATATACGACCTCAGCTGTTATTTATGGAAATTGAATAACACTCGAGATTCACCCGAAGTATTCGCAGAAGCAAAAACGGCCGGTCACACGCACGCACACTTTATCAAAGGTGTTTGAACATCTGAGCCTTTATCGTATAAGGCAACGGTTGGTGGTGGTAGTAACGATGAATTCATAAATCATAACGTCACCGCCACTTTTACCAGATAATCGCGTCGACGAGACGTACAAAAACCTTTTGACGTAATCGACGGCCACCTCGCCTTCGGGACACGGTATATTCCCTCCGTGCGGGAACAATAACCAATATCGGTATCAGGCAGGGGAGGAGTACAAGTGAATCAAGATATTCTGATCCGCCATGATGAATGGTCGAGGAACCATTAGTCTTGTGCCGTTTCTTAGGCGTTGTATGTAGCTTACGAACAGCAAATGGCAACAATCGCTGGGCCATTGTGTACAGACGTCTTTCTCAGGAAGTAGGTAATCCTTTGTGATTGATCTGAACAGAATGGAATGCGAAACGTCACTGTATTGCTGTTTTTATCGTTCTATACATTGAACGAAGAGGACAAATTCTTCGACAATCAGAATGGAAACGCTTCAATAGTCAAAGGATGTCTTGCTGGGAAGAAAGGACAATTTCTAAAAGCTTGTTAAGAGGTTAAAGAAGGGTTCGAGGACAGGAAGAACGAAATTACTCCGGAAATACGCTGAACGCGCCGGAAGGGCTGAGACAGAGTGGAAGACCGTCGTGGAACCAGGTGAAATCCGAACCGTATTATGATCGAGGCGCGTCCTGAACCGGCTCGAAAGGGACACCACCTACTATTGACACTGATAGCCCGAGCAAACGTTCGTCCGGCGTGGCGACCGAGAAAAAATGGATGCGACAAGGCCTGGACAAGTTCAAATGATATGACGACACGCCTATATTTGGTTCGCTGACTGTCGTTTTACAATGGCAAACGCGTGTATACCGACTTCTTCTTTTCAGTGGCACTTGTCCCCACGAAGTTCCCTTTAATTCCAGCCTTTCATTCCACCAATTACAGCCTGCGCATTCGTCATTCACACACTCGCGAAATCTCGCAATTCTCAAATATCTACACGGTTTTGAAAAAATCTAGACGGTTTGGAATATTCGATTTTTAATGTTCCCTACGGTTTTACCACTTTCTTCCGCGTTTCCAAACGTGTAATTAACGCTTCCCGTGTGAATCGACGTTCGTTGATTAACGAAATTCACCGAAGGAGAGCGTAATCTTTTGACGGTAGCATGCTACGACCCCTTCATTCACCTGGGCTAACAGTTCCTGGCCGGAAATGTTTCTTCCTTATGGGAAGTGGAACAGTGCCGACACTATGTGAATGAATCCAAGAAACCGAAACGTGTAGCGTGCTCGCGAATTCTAGCGGTAACAAAATTTTCATTCATGAAAGTATTCGTTCTTTATGCCGAAGATCGATCTAAATAGAAATGAAGGATAAAAACGTTCGAAACAGAAATGAAATAGTAGACGCAGAAGAGAACAATATAATAGGTAATGTCAGATAATTTAAATTATTAATATTCCTAGTGTACTTATAGGAATGAAATCACCGGTCGATATTTCATCGAATCGTGACCTCATTAATCATTAATCGAATTGAGTCATACCGTTGATAAGCAGCTTCATTATAAACAGAGTGGATAAAATGTACATAAATATTTTGAATCTATGCAGACCTTGGTTATCGTGTTATTATTCTTTCTAGAGCCAATTACTGAAACTCCCGATTTAGAAGTGATCACGATAGACTGCTTGAGTCACGTATAACCATTTCGCGAAAAAGTCCACAACAACGTTTCGCTTTATCGTTAAGATTCAAGAACACAATATTCACGTAACTGTAAAACGAGACCATCGTGTTTGCGAGCCTGTAATCTATTTATCCGGAGGTCGGTTCGTTAATCCAAATGACATCACTGGTTTCTCGGCAGTTTTATGTCGATTTCTCGGTATCGTTAAATCCTAAGCTCGACGAAACAAATATGGCGGGCGAGTTGGATGACTTCCGGTTCACGACCCTCTGCATGTTCATCGAATCGTCCGCCTTCAATCTTACAGTTGTATCTAAATACTATCTCCATTTTTCCTATTATTATTACATGATCCTAAACTGACAATATCCAGTTCGACGATCTACGTTTGCACAAGAATCATCGTATTCGTTACGAGACCCCGTCGAGTGACTCACGCGATTTCCTGCGGACGTTAATTGTAAAATTGTAACTTTCGCGAAACGGATTGGGCAATCAGAGTTAAATTATGCAATGAATTATCCACGTTACCGATCTCACGGAACCAAGGACCAGATAAAGATATTGTTTTTGCGAACGCTTCATTAAACTAGTCTTCTTGGGTCAGGGGATGCAATTCTCTGGGTCACGGTGATTTTACCAACCGGAGGGTAGTTAATCGGCGATGTTCAATTAACCAGAGATCTTCAAAATCTCGAAACACAATGGTTCTAGTTTGACGCATAGACAACGCTAATTAATGTCATGCTACGATCAATGGGATGTTTTTTTTTTGCATATGATTCCATATGTTCCAGATGAACAATGTAGAACACGTTCGATGTCAACGGGTTACGAGGGGCGTGACTGAATGAAATTTATTGTGTTACGGAAAATACTTACAAGACGGCTATCTGTTTCACGCTATCTACTAGCTCGCATTCTAATCTACAGGGGAACGCGTAGTTTGCGGTGTCTTTTGTAAGACCCGCGGCGTTAATAACTACCGCTACTCCCACGCGCTACATTAAGTCCCATCGTTCTTGAATTTGCCCCTCAAATGTGCTGGGAAAGACACGCACAACAACGATATGAATACAATAGGCCAGGACGATCATGTGAACGCGCTGAAAGTAGGTGATTTGAATTTCGATGAGTGGACAGTCTTTTTGAACAAAGATATCGATCGTGTATACTACTTATAAAGACCTGTTGAAAGGATTAATATTCACTAATCACTGATTAATTAATAATCAATTGTATAAATTTACATAAGTTAAAAACGCAAGAATATATATGTATATATATATTTTTTTTAATTACCAGGCCTGGTACATCATGAAAACTACAACTATGTTGTGTACCACTACAAAGTTCTTAATAATAAACTTTGCATTAAATATTAATGAATTGATACCCATGTACTCTTGATGATGGTTTCAAATGGGAATACCAGATGCCACTAGCAGCGAGATGTTTCTCCTCTTTCGGTCAGCGGTTAGATGACATTTACCGTGTGAATTTAACAGTAATCGATCCGTAAATGTGACTACGGATCTTGTAAGGTAAGCCGGAAGTAACCAACTGTCGTTTCGATAAATTCTACATACGTTTCATTCTTGTATAGAACGTTAATCATGACAGAACTCGATCCCATAACCTATAAAACAAAGATTTGTTTGTCAATACGGTGACAAAAAAGTACTGCTCTTTAAAAACTAAGAAAATGTTAGGTATATGTAGATATCAGCCGAAAAATAGCAAAATACATAATAATATCACTTATCGAAGAATATTGTGGATTCTTTACACAAAAATGAATATCTTCCTATTTTTAAAAAGAAATTATTAATTTTGTAATTAATATTACAATATAATATTTCCATAGAGTGTATTGTGATTCTTTGAATTCAAATTAATTAAATTTATTTATGTTCACAAACCAGACATTTTTTTATGGACACATTGCAATTCTATTTTTTATTTCAGGGAAGATCATTCCTTGTTAGATAGATGACAATGTGATTAATTGGTGTATTCCAAGTAGGGATATCACAACTGGGTCATGATCATCTAAAAATAGTTCTCTATGCTTGCTCATTGCAGAGTACTGGAATGTTTGTTACAGGGTATCGTTGTGTTCTACAAGTGTCTAGGCATGTCAGGGAAGAGGAAAAAAGTTACACTGACAATACAGAAGAAGCTAGAAGCCCTATTTAGGATTGACAAAGGTGAGGCATTGAAAAGTGTTGCTACCGACTTGGGAGTGGGCACATCCACTGTTTCTGACTGGAAGAAGAACAGAAAGGAAATTGAGGACTTCTGTGCTAAGATAGTATCTAGGGACTGCTTGGGCCATAGGGAAACTATCAAGAAAGCAAAAAATGTAACACTGGATGATGCTTTATACGTATGGTATATTCAAGAACGTGAAAATGGTACAGCTGTATCTGGACCGATACTGAGGAAAAAAGCTCTCAGCCTTAATAAAAAGTTAGCTGGTGACCCTACCTTTACAGCAAGTGTAGGCTGGCTAGGGAGATGGAAAGCACGCCATGGGATAAAATTCAATCTTTCTAGTGAATCTTTTCTGAGGAATTCTACTCCCAATGACAATACGGATCATCATTTACTACTGGAAGATGACCTTGTAACAGTGTGTTTGTCAACACAAGATGATGATGATGATGATGATGACGACGACGATGACGACGATGATGACGACGATGATGATGATAATGATGATGAGGAAATACAAAATTCTCTAGACAACAGGTGTCACAACAATTCAACCAGCTTGAACCATGCAGAGGCTGTAGATATGTTAGACAAGTTAATGACATACTTAGAGGACCAAGATGATACTTTACAACATGAACTAATAACTCTAAAACAATTATATGATCGTGCAACAAAAAAGTGTCTACTGACTTTGAAACAGGAAGATACTAGTGACTTTATCAAATAATATTGTACAATATAGAGTTACAAATTGTGTGATCTTCTAATCACTCAATTGGACGGTGTAAATAATTTATGTAAATATACAATATTTTTCTACACTTCTATGATAATTATATTACGTATTGATACCAGAATATATTAAGTACAGCTTTTACTAATCACAGTCCCGTGTACATACGGCATATCGAAAAAAAGATGCATTCATTTATTCTATTTTAAAACTTAGTAAATACCCGGTCGGTATTCTACATCCATCCGTTTAATCTGTTTTATGTAATAGAGCCATTTTCAATAAGCCGATGAATCATTTGATGACCGTCGTCCAATTACATACCCTGCCAATAAGCTGGTTAATTTAATAGAATGTCAGGGTGAATATCCTCTCCCGGGCAAGCTACAAGATCCTCACCCGGGGGATGCACGGATATCCTGGGAATCAAGGCGATTCCAATTTCCGCTTCGTCGCTCTGATTCGCTTGGCGAACCTTAAAACGTCTTCCTCTAACGGACCATTGAATTTCAGCAAAATTATGCGCGTTTAGGAGCGAAGAAAAGCCGTCATCGATAGAATCAACCGTTAGGATCTTGCAGATATACGGATTCCGGGGCTTTTTCAAGCGTGAACGCAATCGCTACATCATTTGAATTCGATTGGGTAAGTTTTCACGATTGTTTCATGGATTGCACAATAAGATCCATGTGTAGCATCTCGACATGTGTACAACAGGTCATTGCGAAGAAGTATTTTTTCTGTAGACTAAAGACGTTACTGATAATGATAATGGAATACACTAATAAATTTCTTTATCAGGACTTAATGGTAATAAATTCTGGCTAACTACATAGCAGAATACATTTGGCTCGTAAGTTTGGCCCATACTTGCAGCATGGCTTTCTAAATGAACTGGAGAATTCCCATCCAGCATCGAAACGAAATTCACGCAAGGTGAAATGAACGGTGAAACATGAAATGAGACTTGAGTATATAATTTTTCTATTTAATCACGGCCAAGGTACACGGAATGTTAATGAATCGTTTCATCATTCGAGGAGTGAGGGGGAGTTCTCGTGTGATTGAACAACGATTGATGACAGAATGCAAGAAAATATCTATCAAATCGGTGCAATCAACCAGCTATAGCAATACAGCTTTTTCAAGTACCTATTTTGAATCGAATGCAAGCCCATTATTTTTCTGGTCTTATCATACTTATCTCTCGAGTTTCTATCTAAAGGAGCGTTTGAATAATGACTTCACGCTAACACAAGCCAGAAAGCCGCGATAGGACTGCTATACCGAATACTATTTACTCCTTTATCTAATCGTCATTCCTGCATTAATTACACGGAATCTTGAACGACGCAGCCACCTATTCATTTATCCAGCGTTCCCTTTCGATTCTCTTTTTATCTCCTATGGTTGTTTATTTCAGTCTCTGCGGATTCACCGAAGAAAAGGGCGAATTCCGAAGAATGACCCATTTCGCGAAACGTTCGAGGAAAAAGGAGCCCACGAAGAAATTCGTAACTCTAATTTTAGAACAGGCCTCTAATGCATTCGGCAATGATCCCTGTGACGTCAGACGCGTGTAGAAAGTTGACAAGAAAAATCTACATTCCTGCATGCGTTCCGACAGTTTTACATTCACCGTCGTCCGGCCGGCACGGCGTCTACTAGAAGAGAGCCACGGGGCGCCGCGTGTATGCGCCAGATACGAGCCCGTTTCTTCTTCATATCGTATTCCGTCAACGTGTACCGGAGGGGTCACGTATGCGGGACCAACAACTAATTACGATGATGAGATGTCGTTAGAGATCCACGACGAAAGTCCGTCTCATAACTCTTGTCCTAACACCTCCTCCCCCATTTCATCTTTAGGGTTTCGATTCTCATTATACATACTTCGGACAAACACTTCAAGCGGGCTGAAACTGAGGTGACGGACCAGTCAACCTGGATCAAAATACGGGATATTCAAGAGTTTGTTTCGCCAAGGTCATCTCAAGGTTCCAACTTTCCGCTCGTCGACGAGTGTCCTAACGTTAAAATGCTTTGGAACAGGTTCACCATAATGTCGACACGGAATCGACACAATAAAAGATTGCACCGCGAGGATTTTCCCTGTGGACGTTCGTATAAATACACGATTGACGGAACGCGCGCGCGGGAGTACGAGCGCCAAGCCTTGAAGTCTGTAACCGGAGTCGCTCGTTCGCTTGTCTTGGGTTCCAGGACTCGCCAAGGATCTTTCTCTCCTTCTCTCTCTTTTCCTCGTTCTCCGGCCTGGTCTCCGCGTACCAATGGTGAAAGAAGAGGGGGCTCTCTCTCTCGAGAGCGGTCCAACAACTCCCCAGAAAACGTGATCGCGTCCGCGCGCGCACGCATCGGAAACGTACGTTTCGCTGGTAGTACTACAACTAACGTTGCCTAGCGATGGAACTGACAAATGTAGCCTCGCGGTACGGAACCGGCAACGCGATTATAGAGAGCAATAGACACTGATTCAATGTCCGCCTACGGGAACTTAGCTCCATGGGATATTATAGATATCAGTGTGACTGTGAAGGGGTCAAAACAGCACGACTACATGGATGGAATGATCTTGCTCCGAGTCTTGTGCATATCCAACAGACGTTAAGACAAAAGGAAGCTGTCGGGCGAAGAAACGTGATACCAGCGGGATTTTCCTCTCAATTTCATTGACCTTTCAGAAGCTTGCGAACTTGAGCATAATCTGAATCGGGCAAGTTTAAAAAGATCGATCCCATCGCTACTTCACGCACACACAACTTTCGCCCACGAGACGGCAAGGGACGCGCATCGAAAGGCATCGGTGTAGTGTGTGGAGCGGCGACGCCGGGAAGGAGAGGGTTGACGGGTAGGGGCAAGAAAAACGGCGCGAGAAAGGGAGAAAAGAGAGACGTCGTACACGAGGAGGGAGCGAGAAAGAGGGGAAAAAACGACGTCCATTGAGAATTACGGTATTCCGTCGAGTAGAGGAACGGGGTCCAGCCAGGTCTGGGGGCCTCATTAGAAACTCGAGGCAGCGGCGCGCGCGCACGCGTAATATTATTTCCTCGTGGAACGCGGGGGCTAAGGCCGATCAAATGCCGGGTACCGTTCGGGAAAGGATCGAAGTCCGCTCCAATTTCACGTGCAACAGACGCCAGCGCGCCGTTATAATCGCCACACTCGCGAGGAACCCGTTCCGATCGCGTAGAGAAAATTGAAAACTTCCCCTTTTCCAGTTGTCGCGCGCGATCTTTTATCAGACGACTCCCTTCCGCGAGGAATTCTGATCTCGTAATTAAACGACGCCTGATGTTCCCCCTACCATCCTGTCCTCGGACGTTTGAAACGATTTTGGACAACAATGTTTCCGAAGACTTTGTTGTCGAGAAAATTTGGACTAAATGTTCACGGTGGTACGTCCACATCTGGATCACGAATGTATTCAGTTTCCAAACAGTGTTACGAATATTCTATTAACCTGACATGCACCAATTAGCCAGATTTACTAGAAAGCGTTTGTTATCGTATGTTACTATACAGATTGACTGGAAGAAGTTCTATACAAACAACAAGAATAGCTTTCGAAGCAATACACAATATGTGATTAGTAATTACGTACTCTATATAAGACAAACAACGATAAATGCTTCCAAGTAAAAATTCTCAAGAAGAATGCTTGAATGCCAGAGAATCTACAGTCGACAGAAATATTTAAAACTGTCGTTCGCTTTTTTTTGCACGACCTTCCAGGTATCGAAGGCGACCCTTCGTTTTTTCCCATCTGTCCCTACTTTCCTAGCTCGAGCAAGCAGTCTCAACATTCTCGAAAATATTTCAAAACTGTGCCGACAGAGTACAATTTGTTGCACGTTAATATGTATTATTACGTTGTTGGCTAATTCAAAACAATGCACAATTGGAATGCGGACAACAATTTGTCCTCTGGACATGCCCGCAAAAAAGAACATTACCAACTGTACCAAAACACGCGCGCAAGGACGTAAGACGCATTTTCAAGGAAGAGAATTTGAATGAACACGACACACTTGCTAATCTTACAGAGATCTGCCTTTCTCAACGGACCTGGCAAGTTCGTGCAGAATTTTTCCGTCCTGTCGAAACGAAGCCTGATAGGACTCTCTCGTACGTGGTTAATTTTTCTCTGAATTTGAAATAGGAGATCAGTAGATCTTTCGTATGAAATATCCCACGTGACCCATCGACCTTTTGCGCGCGTAAACTTTCCGTTTATCGAGCGGACCATTTGTGGACGATAAACAAACATGTAAGCGTTCGATCCATGGGACTTCTTTTTCTCACAAGCATGCATATCGTACGAAATTATCATTTAACTTCGTTCTATTACGGGATGACTAAGAGTTACATTCGATCGTAATACCAACCGTGATCGAACGCGCAAAGTGGCTAATTGATTCGGAGAACCAGTGACAAATTCCAATGCATACCTATTCGCCGTATGTACGAAGCTTATCCGAAAACTGAAGCGGGCTCCCGCTGCAATCCACACACTGTGTTAAACACTATCGAAACACACTGAATCCACAAAAATGCATACTCTGTTCTCGGTTCAATATAATGTATTCGTCCCTTGATACGAGTCTGATAAACACAGGTACACACACGGTGACCGGACGATACAACGCACGCGTTCTAACTGCGTCGGAGCGGTGGTAGCGTGTAGCGCAAACCGTACCGAGTGTAGAGGCTGCGCCAATGCGTTTGCGGCGTTCGAACTCCGAGCGATTCTTCGTCTTGATCCCCTCCAGCCATTCCATTCGCGGATTCAGCGGCATTCTTCCCACTCCCTTTACTTCAGTCGGTCTGACCATCTGTTGAAGATCTTGAAGACATTAGTGCTATCTATGAAGATACAGTTGTACTTACTTAATCTATGCTGCAGTCGTTTTATCCATGTTTTAACAGTTATTACCATAGACATATATAATAGACTGCGCAGTTTTATGGTAGGGCTGAAGTCTAGACCGAAGGACAGAAGTAGAAACGGAGTAGCTCTCTTGCTCTACACAACCGGCTGAAACCCCTGACCAACAGCCCAATTAGAAAGAAAAACGGCTGCTCCAGCTATTACCCTCTCTTTCTTGTGTCAACTTCAGCCCTACCATTCTTGACCAAGTATTCAGTTTGAAGCTGAAAGAACGTAGATTAATCTCCTGTCATTGAAAATAACAATAAACGACCAGAACACTGTTAAAATCGCATTTAATCGCGGAATACCACTATTTTTTTGACCGGTGGCGCCACCCGTGGCAATTCGCTGAAACTGCTAGCCAAATTATACCGACAGGTGAGTGAAAATTCCTAGTGATGGAAAAATGCAAATATCTCAGTAATTAAGTGCTCAAAGTAAAGATTGTTAGTTTCAAATTATTCCACACGATTCAATGCATCGACCGAATGCAGCAGAACCCCATAATTAGGCAAATTATTTCTATCAGTGTTGATATGTACCTTTGTAGTGTTGACAGAAATAATTCTCCCGATTATGAAGTTCTGCGATATTGGTTCGATGCATGGGATAGTCAGGAGTAATTCGAGACTAACTGCGTTCATTTTAAGCGCCTAATTACTGAGATATTCGCAGTTTTCCATCATTAGGAATTTTCACTCACCTGTCGGTATGATTTGGCTAGCAGTTTGAGCGAATTGCCACGGGTGGCGCCACCAGTCGAAAAAATAGTGGTATTCCGCGAATAAATGCGATTTTAACAGTGTTCTGGTTGTTTATTGTTATTGTCAATAACAGGGGATTAATCTACGTTCTTTCAGCTTCAAATTTAATGCTTGGTCAAGACGAAAGCTGTCAGTATAACGTTGAAAGAGTTGTTCAAAGTGAACTGAACGGGGTACCCATGACGAGACACAGTGTCAACCGTTACAAACAAATGTGATTTTTACAATGTTCTTGTAATTACTGGTTCTCAGCCGTTAGAGAGTACTAATCTACGTTCTTTAAATTTCGACTCTAATGCGTGACGAAGAAAAATGATGCCCGTTCAGCAGTGTAAATGCGATCGAAATCTGTTGCAATTAGGGTTGCTGCTTCATAAGGGTCTGCGTTAATACAGGCATAAATAATTTGCATAATTCTGAGGTTCTGCAGTACTGGATCCATGCATTAAGTACTCAGGAATAATAAGATGAAAGGTCTACGTATGTATGTAAGTACATACGTATATTTTCTTTTACGTGGTCGGTAATACTAGCGTGGAACCAAAATGGGTAGATTCCTATTATTATGCCAGAATTGGCCGCTTGGTGCTGCACTTGCCCGGAAACAACGAATTCCCGGGCGTGAGCATTCTCATTTCCTCTCTGTTTAATGTTATAATATTAAATAATAATAAAAAAATGCAAAACAAGCGATTATTGATAAAGAATACTTAATCGGAAGTATTCCAGAGAACCTAACATCATTTATAAAAGTTTGCAATTATAAGACAAAAAAACCTCATCTCGTCTTCTGAGTCGTGTTGTGCCATGCGGGGTGGGAGATTCTATATATTTATATATACAATATACACGAAGAACGTATAACCTTTTAATAAGAAATTTATGTATGTAAATAATTTTAATTCAAATGTAAATATACGATGGCTGATACAGAAGTACTTAGCAATGTTATATCTGTAATTGATAATAATACTAAAAAACCGGAACAATTTTTAAGGTATATATTTTTTCTATATTTCCTATTGTTTTAACCTGCTGTAACACATCGTGAACAGTAGAATAACAGCATAATTTATTAATTTTCTAGTATACAAAACAAAGCAGCGTTAGATTTTAAAAATTCAATAAAATGCTTGTACGACTTCACAAAAGAACAGTCAGGCAGAAATACAAATGCTCTGCCAGAGCTCGTAACAGAAGGTTTTGACGAAGAACAGATCTGGCAGCAGTTGGAGTTGCAAAATGAAGGTGAACTGGTACACTTCATAACTGGTGTTTCGAGAGTTTTAACTGAAAATAAAAAGTTAACAATACCAATTAGTGCAACAAAACCAGAAATGGTACAAAGTACTGAAGAAATAGTGTCAGATGATAAAGATAATGTAGAAGAAGAAAATGTCTCTGAAGAAGATGATTCAGAAGATGAAATAGCACCAAAAAGTCCTTTGAAGAAACAGAAAAAGAAATCATCTATAGTGGATGACAAATTCTTTAAATTACAGGAACTGGATGAGTATTTGACCAAAGAAGAGAAGAAAGAGAAACAAATTGTAAAAGATGAACAGGGATCTGATGAGGAATCTGTGGATTTGTTTAATAATTATTCTGATAACGATGAAGGTGACAGTGGAGAAAAGAAACTATTGAAATATGCAGACTTCTTTGACAGTCCACAAAGTGAAGATGAGGATGCTAATAATTCCATGCGGCATAAGGATATTAATAATAAAGACATAGATAACAATTCATTACATGATGATTCAGACAACGCAATGGACACAGATGACGAACAGAATGAGCGAAAGTCTTCCCAGAAAAAAGTTACTTTCAATCTCACGAATGATTCAGATGATACAGACAGTTTAGAAAATAGAATGGTTAGTAGGAAAGAAGAAACAGAAGTTAAATCTGCCCTAGAAACTCGTCAGGAACGATTAAACAAGAGAATTCAAGAGCTAGAAGAAGCAGCACTTGCAGAGAAACCATGGCAGCTTAAGGGTGAAGTAGGTGCTGCTAACAGGCCACAGAATTCATTACTGGAAGAGTTTGTTGAATTTGATATCACAACAAGACCTCCTCCAGTTATAACTGAACAAACTACAGTAAAGTTGGAAGATATAATTAAACAAAGAATAAAAGATAAAGCTTGGGATGACGTTGAAAAGAAGTTTAAACCAGTGGAAACTCCAATGGAGTACAAAAAAAAGTTGATTCTGGATCAAGAAAAAAGTAAAGAAAGTTTGTCTCAAATTTATGAGAATGAATATCTTAAACAGAAACAAGCACTAAATCCAGATAGTGAGGAAAAGGAGGAAGAGGAACCAAAGTTGCACATAGAAATTCGAGAAATGATGCATTCTGTGTTCTTAAAATTAGATGCCTTGTCCAACTTCCATTACACTCCAAAACCAGTAGGATAATTAGAAACATTAATACATTTTTTTCATACTGTAGTCATTCATAAGTTTTCAACATTTATGCATTTGTTACAGGCTAAACCAGAAATTAAGGTTGTCACTAACATTCCTGCAATTAATATGGAGGAAGTAGCACCATTAGCAACCAGTGATGCTGCTTTATTGGCCCCAGAAGAAATCAAAGGTGTGTATTTTACTAGCCGTAGTACTGTTCAAATTGTACAAACGAATAAGCATATTTTTGTTTTTTAATAGAAAAACAACGAGGCGATCTTATTGGTAAAGGAGAAAGAACGAAGACGGACATGAAACGAGAACGAAGGCACAAAAAGATGAGACAGCGTGCTCGACAAGAAGCCATGGAAAAGAAGGAGAAACAGAACGCGTTGAAACCGGGAATAGAAAAGAAATACAAGAAAGGCAAAACCTTGAAAGAATTGGCTAAGAAGCTGAGCAATAGTCGAAACGTTATAAAAATGGACGAAACGGGACAAAAGGTTCCGAAGTCGTCAACTGCGTTCTTCAATCAGTTGCAGGACCAGGTGAAAGGTCACATTAAATCGAAGATTAGCGCAAATTCGAAGAAGAAACGGAAAGATGCTGTGTCTGCAATAAAATTGAAGTTATAATTTTTGTATAGAATTTTTTACATACAAAAGATCGCGATTATACACATTCATGTCAAACTGTATATACCTTGAACCGAATTCCATGATATATTAAGTTTCGTGAAACAATAAAGGGTTGAATAATTATTCCAGTTTTCCAACACGAACGTGGACTTTATATTACCAATTGTTCCGTGATCCATACAACTTTTATATTCATGTAATATAATAAGCGCACTGGCGGAATCTATAAATAGTTTTATTTTATACGAGCACATATCTTCTTTTTTAAATAATTGCATTGCAATATAAATTTCAAATAACTCTCTTTTGCACAAAATTGAGGTCTTGAGGGCTAATTGATCTTGTAAAGGAGAATAATTGCAAATGGCAAAGGATAAAGTATCTCGAATTTTTTTGTAGATACGATTTACAATTTAATCAATTATTTGTATGTACATATTGATATATTCATCAATATGCTAATTATTGTCCGAGCAATACTATTGAAGGTACTTTTGACACAGGATGATTAAAAAGAATTCTGCGCGTAATGTATATTTTGTATATATTAGTGAAAAATGTTCCCAATTCATCATGATATGCTGCAATTTTTTCCTTCGATCTTGCTTATAAGAATTTCCTAGACATGTACAAATGCACTAAATCACACATGGTTACTTATAAATGCAATTATTCGTATGTGTAACATTATCTATATTTTTCTTTAGGAATATCTAAAAATGGTGTCTTGCACAGAGAAGCAAAAGTGGATTACATAATATTTTTTGTACATCATCGAATTCAAACAATCTTTTTTTGTCCATCGAGTGTCGATCCTTAAGATTGCACTGTTTATAATTACAAAGATCTAAATTAAAATAATTAAGCTAACCTTAGAAATCTAACGATAAGCTGGTATTAAAATTACCGTGATTTGTGTAGATTTGATTGAGAAGTTTTAAAAATACCTTTTCCATCCTTAATTTTTAGAATGTATCTCATGATTTTTAGTATTTTTTTTCAAAATGCTTTTGTATTTTATTCGTCTTTAAATAAAATTGCGAATATTATGCCATATTACTTATTAATAAGCACAGATGCGACGTTAAAATCCTATAACAATGTAAATATATTAGCAATCGTACATGATACACGCAGTCCGATATTATTTCGTTTGAAATATTAATGAAGCGTCACTTTCCGAACAATTACAAATCTCACACGCATTTTCTGTTTTATTCCAAAATTTATACATACTTACATCCATTAACAATAGCTCCGTGAAACTCAAGTCCTCGTGATCTCATCGTTCTTGGTTTCCATGTACAATTTAAATATAACTTACCTACACAATTGCGTTTATTTATTTAAAATTAGAACGAGGAGAGTTCAAAGTTTAATCTCCAATTTACAATATCCCCTTTAAGTATGTTTTCCTTACTCTCTGAAGTCAAATCAACAAAGGAAAGTAATAAAAAAAAAAAGAATGATTTTACACTTCTTCATTCAACGTGATCCTTAATCGCAAAAAAAAACACATACTTAAAAATTAAATCAGATCTCTCTTTTGAACAGTCCTCGTATGTTAATTATCATATCAAATCCTAAAATTTGTGTATTTTTAAAAAGCTTCCTAAGTTTCTAAGCCTTGTCCACTGATTCATCTGTGCGTATTATAAGTGACCATTTTTCATTTCTTTTTTTTCGAGTTATAAGTTTTATGGCACTTTCGCAAAATGATAGTCATCAATTTTTGACAAATCGTCCAAACGACTCATACGATCTTTAAAATCGTACTCTTTGATGCAATCAAAAGAAACTTCTCATAATAGAAACACTAACCGATGAAGTTAGGTCATCCTAACTTCAACGTCAATTCGGATGAAGTTTACACGTGAGGTGCTAATGACTTTCAATTAATTGCTGAAGTAAAAGTGCTGATTATGATGCTCGGCGTGATCCCGAAATAGTACCAATGATTCGAACCTTAAAGCTTTTTTAAGGTAGACATTCCTCAATGCTACTTCCTTGTCGCTACTCGAAATTAGTATTAAACATATTTAATTCCTCGAAACCTGATGCTCCACCCTGATCCTGGAGCATCTGTAACATGTCCGAGAGTTCTTGAGGTTGCGTGCCAGGTCCACCCTGAGAAGGATGAGGTGGTTGTGGTTGTCCAGTTACTTGAGGATTTGATTGTCCACCATCTGGTTGAGGTGCTTGGTGTTGTTGGCTCTGCCACCCCCACATACCTGATAATTATGAAATCAATACTTTGAGAAATTGCGGAATATATAGAAGAATCGTATGAGAATGAGAACTGAACTTACCTGGATTATTAGGCACTGTTGTGACTGCATGATATTGTGTAGCCGGTGTCCTAGCACCGCTACTTAACTGAGTATAAGTTGGTCCGCTTGGTGACCTAGACGGACTTAATTGACTGTATTGATATCCTTCTGTTACAGGTTGCTGCAGATAAAAAAGATTATATAGATTAATTATTGAAATTAGGGAAACTAAATAGAGGTCAGTACAGTAAAATTACTTGTCTTCCAATAGCCCATGCTTGTTGCACCGGAGTTGGGGATGTGTTAGCTGGTTTTTGAATTCTACTTAAAACTGAAGAAGATGCACTCTGCTGACCAGGTGAGCCATAAGCTATCGGTGACTGCGTTGTTTCATATCCTTGATAAACATTTTGCGTACTGGACGGCCTAGGCTGCTGAGGACCTATCAAATATAGTCGTGTAAATAAACGTGTATTATTAGTATTATATTAATATCTCATAAAACTAATAGTTTACCAGCTGTTGCTACAGCTGCTGGATGTGGCATCATATGATGACCTGAATACAGAGGATCCCTAGCAGGATGTCTCTGAAGAGAATAATCCAAGCCAGGTTGTCCATAAGCAGGTACAGCTTCGTTTTCTGTTTGGCCATCGTTGCCAGGATGGAATGACCTTAAATATCGAACAAAAATGTACCAGCTTTTATTTACCGTAACGAGTTTAGTTTGAAAAATTCGGCTATGATAAATATGTAGAATAAGAATTTTCCTAGTATAAGAGAGCGTACTTTGCGTGCGTGTTTGTGCAGACAATGTATTCAACCTCGTCATTAAATGGATTTAAAAATGCAAACGCGGATGTCCTTAACCACACCCAGTCACGATTTTTGGCTCGAAATCTGTACATTACAGACACCACTTGTCCTTTCAGCTTCAGTACTGCAAAGAGATACAATGCAATACATTAACGACACTGAACATTTTGTGACAATTGATTCGTGTGTCCTCCACGGTACTTTACCTTGTTCAAAACTTTCCCTCATATGCGTTAAGTCCTCTGGATGAAAGAATTCGTAGCACGGGTGACCTAAGAGTTCTGATGGTGTGTAGCCTAAAATTCCACCCACTCTTTGATCCACGAAGGTAAATTTACCTTCTGCTGAATGACGAGAGATAAATTCTAAAAAATTAAATCGCCTGGATTACTTACAGGTTTCCATGTATTATATTAAATATTATTTCTGTAATGTTTGCGCTTACTTACCATTATTGCTATTGGAACCTGCTAAATCGCTATTGTTTGGTGTGCTAGTGACCTGTAATCGTCCAATGGCAACCAGACAACAATTGCTACTGGTGTTTTCATCCGCAACTACACCGTCAGGTCTAGCTTGAACACTACCTCTGTCACCTACACCCCCACCTGGTACACACGGGGGAACAAAATCACCTACAGCGTAAAATTATGAATCAGTCTAGGACTCTTCATAATGGTTCACTGATTGTTATTTATATACTGATACATACTACAGTGTTGTGCTAAGTGTATCAAGTCTATTTAGACTGGATTGTGCTTGTACTTGTACCAATGGGGATATCTCTGTGTGTCATATCTCAACATACAGTTTGGAAACTGAGGAATAATAATCTCACATATATATGTATAAATGTTGTTCCTTTCTAGTTTAGAGACGACCCCATAAGTGATCCCAAGCATACAGTTTTTCAACTCAAACCTAGTAAGAACGGACGTGGAGCCTCTACTGTTACAATCATCTACCTAATCACTGATATTTCAGTTCATGAAAGTAAGTACGTAGTTCCTGTTTCAATCGGAACAAGAGGAATAATTCTTAAATACTTATGGATAAAGGAAACAAAAGAACGGAAACTATAAAAACAAGAGAGAAGGATAATTTTATTGAGCCTCGATTCGCGGAGAGGATTTTGAAACACGGAAACGCACGAAAATCCTCGTGAACCCTCCACTCGAGCCCGATCCCCCCCTTTATTATGCATCAGGGGCCACGATAAAGCATACAAATTCCGCATCAGCTCGTCCCGGCATAGTTATCGGTATTCCGGCTCGTCTGTCGGCTGTTAGGTCAAGACAATTCCATTCATTCTTATAAACCGATCCGTATACTATCCGTTCGCGGTCTGTTCGCTTCTAGCCGGTTCTTAATTTATAGTACAAACGTCGCTATCCCCGTATTCTACGAAGCCGGTCGGTTCTCGTTCATATTCCTCCTGCACGCTGTCTCCCTCGCTTTAAAATAGAAAGTTGGCGCTACGTCGCCGCGCGACCCGTTATGTCGACGGCGATTAACGACGAAACATTGGAACCCGTACGAAACTCACCGTTGGAGGGCCAGTTTTTGATGTATCCTGTACAATGGACTACGGCGTAATTTTGACCGTCCCTGGCTGGACCGAGGGAGTTTCTTTGCTTCATACGATGAAGACCGTGGGCAGCGGCCATGTCACCGGTCGCCTGGAGGTTTCCGACCTTCATACGGCAGATGAAACCTCTTCTCGAGCCCATACACATCCTCATGGACGCTATGAAATAGACATATTCTTCATTATTAATTCTTCTGGTTACATAATACAGGATCATTTCCAAAGGAGATACTGATAAATTGAATTTTACTGAAGAAAACTTATACAGCGAGAAATGGCGAAGAACCAACGTCCACTTACACTGGCCCTCTTTCTTTACGGTCCCGGTTTTGAGGTCCAACACCCTGCCTCCGTGCTGCGGTTCCTCAGCGCTTAATTGTTCCTTTACTTTCTCGGTGTCATCCGGATGAACCTGCGAATAGAGGCTGGTACCATACCAGTCGCTTTGCGTGTAGTTCAGAACAGGTGCAACCGAGTCGGAGACGTAGATGATCCTTCCAGTGTCGCAACTGACGACGAAGAGAAATCCATCGGCCGCCTCCAGAATCAGGTGTTTTAGCTCTTGGTCGGTGAGGAAGGAGGGCTTGTAGGCGTTGTCCGTGGCCGTGCTTCCGGTACCTGCGACAGAAATTTAATTCGTCTGAGCTACACTCGTTAAATCGACCCCCACCACCTGTCAACGCACACGATTGCGTCGGTCCTATGCGTTCGAGGATACCCAACACGACAAACACCGAGTATCGATCTTCAATTAAAGGGGGATTCCCTTTTTCCTTAATGAACATGTTTTTCTATCACGTTCGATGTAAATGGCAGCTATCGATCGGAGAATCTATCCGAGCTGTTCGACAGAGAGTGCACGTGTATCGGGCGGGCAAAACTCTTCAGACGAAACGAATGCTTCTAGGGAGAAACGTGTAAGTACTCTCGTACGTGAAGATCGAAGACACTTTTGGGGTTGGAATTTAATCCCTTCTTTGTTAAAGAGCTCAAACATTTAAAGAACTATCGATCAGCTTCGCGTTCTCTAACGATCTAGTTTCCAAGACTTTCGGAAGGGTTAATGAAAATGCACCGTGAGATGAATATTCTGACGATCCAGTCGTCTTAACGGATAACGAAGTAAGGTCTCTAACGCTTGCATCGAGGCCAACAGATGTACGGTGCCAAGGGTGCATCGGTGTATCTCGTGGCCATCGGGGGAGCTATGATTTACGACTGCTACTAAAAGCAATAGTGTATATAGATCTAGATTAAAACCGTGCTAAGATCGCCGGCGGCCTGGCACGGAAGATTGGCCAGGTCTCTCTCTTCGAGGAGCAAAACCGACCGAATCGCGGCATTAATGTCCATCGAAGACGTTCTCTACTGTGGAAGGTAATGGTAACGAAGGTCATCCGGGGTCTTCCATAGATCTTGTTTGGAAGTCGTTAAAGTACCTCTTCCCGGAATTTCTCCGTATATCGGGGTAAAGATCGCATCGCGCGGCTCGCTCTCTTTCTCTCTCTCTCTCTCTCTCACTCACACCCGCACCTCGCGGGATCCCGTCCGCTTTGCAATTCCGATCTTGCACCTCGATAGTTACCTGTGCTGCCGAGCAGCTCCGTCCTCATTTTTGGTACCGAACTTTTTCTCTCTCCTTCTACCTCGTGTCATTGGTAAGTGTTAAGTTTTCGTATTCAGACGTAAAAATTCTATCGACATTTCCCCATCTTGCAATTGAGTGGAATATGGTCCCAAGCATTAAACAGCCCATAGGCAGGGCTTGAAAACTGTTACGATTTCGGTATAGGTTCTTGAAACAGCTACGAAGAACTTTTATTCTGAGTAACTGTTACGAAGAACCTACATTTCAGGCTATATAAGTTTCAGTTACGGTTCCTATATCAGCTCCCATATCAGTATTGTTTAGGTGTTATATCAGTTTTATAACAGTTATTTTTTAGGTTCTATATCAGTTCTGAATAAACTATATTCAGAATAAAGATTTTTCATAACTCTTTCAATCGGAACTTTTATATAAGAGTTTGAAACAGTTATTTTCGGAACCGTTTCAAGCCCTGCCCATAGGACGATACCGATTTCTCATACGACTGCTCGTAGATCACTTCGACTGTCTGGACGAGAGTTCCAACCGTCCAAGCGATGTATGTCGTACGACAAATCGTATCGTTTATCGTCTTTAGATACCCCGTAGACAGTTCTGTATCGGACCTGCTAATTGTATGCTTCGAATATCTGTTTCATTTGCAAGCCACCAATTTCGAAAGATGAAATGACCAACGAGGCGCGTCTCACGGGTGCAACGAATACGAGGGGTTGGTGCGTATACGCGTAAACGAGCGTCGACATATCCCGGAGGCGATAGCCTTTCCTCCCGGTCAGGTAAGAGAGAGGCTCTCCGGTTCGAGCAATTTGTATTCAGCGGCCCTCTTGTCGGGAAAGAGGAGAAGTGGCTATAAACAATGCGACGCACCACCAATACTTAGCTGGAATCACGGTACGCACACCGATCCAGAGAAGAGGGGAGTGGAGGAAGGGGGATCCCGTGTAACGCGTGTGTGCACGCAGTCACAGGGACACCGGGGCTAAAGGGACAGCCGACGGAGCAACTCCACCCATTCTTACACCGGAAGCATATATCGCGCTTTCTGCATTCGATATGACCACCGTACGACGAAACCTTCGGTGAATTACGACCGTTCCGGTGCAACCACCGGCCGGATGAATTCTCGTCAGAGACTGACAAGAAGCGGTTTCCCTATGGGACACTGGACATCCCTTCGTTGATACAAGCTTGAGATACCACTAACGTCAGGGACTCTATTATCATCCTCCAGTCACTTTCTGTACATTTTTCTGTTTTAAAATAAGGACTGATCAACAGAGTTCGAGCGTGGATATCGAACAAGATCGGTGTCTCTATACTGAAGTTCCTCCGGTGGGCTAATCAAAGTTTCAAATTTGCATCCGTATTATTATCGAACGTAAGGAAAATACAGTTTTAGCCGTGCTATGGGTGTCCGATAAGGCACAATGTAGCTTGAACGCGGGACGTGACGATTAAGAGCCTGCGATGTTTGAGTTATCCGGCACGGGCAGGCTAAATAACTTCGGCAACGCGATCTTCGAGTTTTGACTCGAAGCGATTGAATTACGATCCGGGCAGCTTGCTCCATTCCGGTCGCCTATCGATGTCGAACATTGAAAATATCATGCGACTAAAATATAGGTTCCTAGTGTTTGTTCCTTTTTGGACTTCGAAACACTAAAAGAAATACTTCATGTTTAGTTCACCATTATAGTGTGTATAAAATTTGCCTATTATAAATTTTATAAAGTGACAATGTGTCTAGAGAAACAGAGAATAGGTAATGTTTCTCTGATCCAGGGACGTTATCGATCGAGTCATAATGGTAAAGGTAAGTGTACTCACCCCTGAGGTTCTTCATATGGGCGACCGCCATCCTGAGTATCGTCAATTTGTCCGGTTTCCGTGCCAGGGCTGAACACGTCGGCACCATGTCCGATAGTTCGGTGATGTAGGCGGTCATCTTGTTCCGCCGCCGCCGCTCGATCTCGCAATGATTCTCCCTGCAGTAAGTCGCAAGACAAAACCAAGGTAATTGCATAGTTCGAGAAATGGCTTTTCGTCTGACGGCGAAAAGATCGTAAACGACGAAGCTCGGTTGAGGTCTATTACACGCGGTGAATCGGGGAGAGAACGGAGGATGGTCTCCGATCATTCGAAAGAAATTGTCGTTTCGTTTCTCGAATTAAATAATTATATAGTTAATTCTGAAATTAACGCGACAACATGGAGAATTTGTTAAACGATCGCAATGGGTGCAAGAGTGGAAAATTGTAATGGTCCGGTTGCGGGAATCCAGCGGCGCGAAAGAATCTGCATCGAGGAGACCGGGTCATTGATAAGGGTGTTCGTGATCAATGCCGCCAATAAATTCTGAAACGATGCCTCATCGAGAAGGTATATCGGGTGAAACCACAATTTCAGGGGCCTCCCTGTTATTACGCTACCAGAGGGTAACCGCCGCGGAGTAACGGCGCACGTCTCTTTGCCTCGGCTGGTAATTGTCGGCGCGCAATCGTAAATTTAATGGCATTTAATTCCTGATAATTTCCGAGGGAGGGCCGCGAGTCAGATCGCACGCGAGAAAGTTTGGAAGTTATACCGAGATATATACGCTGGAGAATTTTATTTCTTAATTAACCGTGGCACTTCTGGAACGCACCCCCTGTACTTCCCGATTTCGTAAAATCGTCGATCACCTATAATCATTTTAGTTATTGCGTTGGATATTAACACACTGCGATATAAATTTAGAGTAACTTGTGTATCTCGCTTGAATAGGAAGATTATTAAGCATCTCCTTCTTCGTATTTCGTTGAAAATTTGTGAGATCAAAGGGAACGAATTCGTTTATTTTCCAGTACCGTTATCCGGGATGTTCCTCCGACTTGGGTATCGCTGGGGAGAACTTCCTTTTGTGTCTACCAGCCAGATAAGACCCTCCATCTCATTCCGAGTCCATCAGGTACTATTACCTCATACTTATTCCATCTTCGGATCCTCCGAGTTTCATTCTGTTCATGTAAATACGCCGGAAAGCGCATTGAATTCCCGGGAATGCGGCGGTATCTTTAATTCAATTTTCTCGTTTTTATTACACCCCCCTCGTTATTTCGATCGAATTTACATTCCTCGAGTTAAATAATATCACGAATTACGCTACAGTATTTTCGATGACCGAAGAATACAAGATGACAAAATGAAGTTGGAGTCTCGAAGATTTTTTTTTATCACTAACAATAGCTTGAATAAAATGTATTTATGTGGGGGGATATAGCTTAGGATTCATGTCCAACGCAATGTCTTCGTATTGTGAACATTGACCTCTCGTTAAGTTCCGCATCCAGGACATCCACCCCGTCTGGGGCTTTGCGACCCCATTCAACAAAATCGTTCTCCGGTTGCTCCGCGTTGAGACGCCATGTTGATTACAATGCTGGAGTCATTATTAACATGGTGGAACTAATTTGAAACTTGGTGTATATTAGCCACTCGATATGATGAATCAGCGGTTCCAGTAATTGTCAGGTAAGATTCAAGATCGTCTTCCGAGTCTTCCATTAAAAATGATCTTTTGTCCGGTATATTTCGGGAGTTCATTGGGTTCTAGCGTCAAGGACTGGCCAGAGATGGTTCAGTAATGATATTCCAGGTGGATGCTCAGAGGCAGGACCTTCCAGTTCGTTGGAAGTCCAGGAGGATCGGTAACGTTCCTCGCCAACGTGGGCTCCGTAGCAGGGCCCGCTATTTAAAAGAGGCCAGGGCGCTTAAAGCGCAAGTATAAAGCAGGGTATGTACCGCGCACAGGACGGTAGAAGAACACGAGGAGAAAGGGGCAGAAGAAGAACCCGATCCAAGGAGCAGGACAGAGAGAACTCCTGGGTCAAGGGTCAGACGTTCCGAAGTTGCCCGCTCGCTCTGTGGGTCCAGCGGAGGCTATACAGGGTGGTCGTTCTCCAACCAGACCTTTTGTCTTCTTTAAAATGACAATTAATTTTGGCAATTCTTTTATTTCTCCTTCCTTATTTTATGCCCCTTTTGCTGGAACAAATTCATCGATTTATATTTGCTGGTTCTCTATTCGTTGCTGTACGTAACGAACTACGACATGTTAATTTCAAAACAATTAACAGATTCGAGATGGTGTCAATTCCCAGGGACCGACATTGAATTTTCCGTTTAACCGTCGGACTCTGTGGACCGACTGTATCGAATCTGATAAATAAACTTAATTTATATAACATAAAAAGTACACTTACAAAACTGTAATTTATATAACATAAAAAGTAGATATATTGTATACTCTGTACGGTCAAACATCTGCTGAGTGATCTCCGCCGGCCGAACGGAAAGTACATCAAAATCGGTTCCGTCTCGAACGTGTTAATGATTAAAAATCAGTCAGAATTTCGTTAAAGCTGCGTATCAAGCAAGGACACTTGAAATGATTATTTAATGAGCCATAAAGTGGTAGAAGAATAGAAGTGGAAAAATGAATCTGAAATCTTAAATTTTATAAAAATCTTGAATATTATTAGATTTTGTTGTTATAATTCGTGATTTTGATTTAGAATGATTTCTATTTGACTCGAATAATCATTCAACGACAACCTGACCACTGAAGAACCGAAGGATCGAGTCGTTTCTTGAACTACACACCCTGTATATCGATCTCCGCATTACTATGATACAAAGTCGGCACAGAAATACACGTACCGCACACATAAAATCATTCTAAGGGGGGTAAAGAAGAGCCTCGTCGCACGGAGGAAAAGGAGATCGCGGAGATCGGTCGGAGTCATCATCATCGTCATCATCATGATCATCGTCATCAACGTTGTCGTCGTCATTGATACTTCGTATTGCGATCCTATAAATGACAACGTCTGCGCGGTGAATTATGGATTCGTCTAACGACTGTACGAACGAACTGTCGATAGAAGTTCTAACGACTCCCACTTCCACCTCTCTCCTTCTCTCTTTCAGCACGCGGAACAATGAAATGAATTATGAATCGATCGAGGATCGTTTAATGCGATCGTATTCGTTATCGAATATATTTCGAACGCGCAACATAGCGGTGGACGTATGCTAACGAGCATCTAGCTACCGAGTGATTTATGCTAAATCTTAATATTCCCGCATGCTAATGACGACAGATGTTAGGCTCAAGCTCCGAAACGGGCCGATGGTTAATTTTTATTGCCACGAAACCACGGATTTCCGGGTCTTTCGATCGTTGAACGCTTGCCAGTCTTTATCATTTTTTATTTAGAATTTATCGATATAATAGTATTAGCATTAAGGATGTGTCTAACTTTCACCGCCTTTTCGCCGAATCCGAGCACAGTTTATACCCGAGCAGAAAATAATAAACCACCGGAATAGTGATTCCATCGCAAGTACGCGGCTCGTTAAGTGTCCCTTAAATCATTCCCGAACGAAGACATTATAATCACGATTGAAACGGTGAACCTTAGACGATAAATTCTCTCGGGGAACGTTTACTACCGTGCAGGCGTAATCCTCAAATCGCTGTGTTCATCGTGCGCGTTAGGACGTAACCGTATTCGAATATTCCTTGGTTAATGGCTTTAGGAAATCCATATTGTCCACATTTCACCTATAAAACAAGAGAAATCGAGACTTTATTTTACACAGAGGACAGCCCTACCTATGTAATAACCTGTGAAGTATAAATCCGCCCTGTGTAACGTTTTAGGACCGAAGTTGGTGTCCTTGCCGCGCGTTGAAATCACCAGAAACCACCTTTAACCTGATTCTCACGATAAAATCTTCCGGAAGACCATGAATGGGACCCCCAACCTTTTCGAATTCAAAACACCAGGAAAGCAATTCAATGTACAGTTTTTGGGAAGGTTGACCAATATCTCGCCGCAAGCTACTCGGTACCACGGATAAATCCAGGTAAGAAATTGTAATGTCTGACGCGAAAAGAAGAAAAAGCCCCAGCGTTTCAGCGCAAACCGCTGGCATTCGACGACAAAGGAGTCGAATCCGCGGTTTATGCAACAATCTCGCTGCCAAAAAGCGCAGGTATTAACGCGGCACAGCGAAGAGAACAGGGCACGGGTCGGAGGGGGCGAAGAAAAAGAAGAACGGGCAGCAGAAGCCGAGGCTGCGGGCCGAGAAGGAGGATAAGAGGGTTACCCGCCTTGCGGCCAGGAGGCCAGTAATTGCGTTATTAACTTAAAAGTGAGGTTCCTGGACGCTCGCGACATCGAGAGGCTGTTGCGGATTGCCGACTTTTCCGTGAAACATGTACACACTGTAGCCAGTTTTGTTTGGTAGCACGATACGAGGTGAACGTACTACCTGTCAGAATCGACGTAAAACGGGCGAATCGTTTCGAAGAGTTCCAAGGTTTCGTGCAAATTTTTCATATTCGTGCGTGCAGGTAGTCAGCATGACTTCGTACGAGGAATGGTATTAAAAGTAGACAAAAGATGGAGTAATTACGCGTCGTGTGTGTTCGACGTGTATGACAGACGATCTTGGAAACTCCGCGACAATTACGTCGATGAAGACGTCACAGAATGATCTGACTGATGCTTAATCAGCATTAAATTTTTGAGATTCGAGTACTGGCATGTCGACCATTTATCTATACGTACTATGTGAAAATTAACAAACTGAAGGTATTATCTTCATGAACGCTCCTCAGTCATACGTGTCAGTACGATATTCATTTCTAAACTCAATTTGCCTAAGCCTGTAACCTAGATCAATCACGGTGGCCAAGGTGATCCACAATTTCCGGCAATCGGTTCGCCAATCCTGATCGAACAATACTGAACGTTGCATTGTCTGGCGTAATACGCGTCGCTCGTCGTATTTCATTTCGCGAATCCCTCGGCGTGTCAACGGGGAGTATCGCGATAGAGGATCGAGATACGGACGTCTTCGGTTGTAGACGTGGCCAAAGGACGGTGCTGTGCGCGCGTATAAGTACCTTATGTTCCCACGCTGGAGCAGCCTGGAGGGCTTCCCATTCCGCTATCGACTCACATTGGCGGGTATCATGTAGGTATGTATGTATCTTCGTACTCTCGGCCCCGGCATGTACAGGGTGTACCGCCGGCGAACATATTGGCCCGGGAGTCCGTGAGACGAATTAACAATGCCCGTCACCGCGCGTATCAGAAAAGAAGCCACCGAGAAACACGGAAAGAAACGATTTAGGGCCGAGACGCGTCTCGGGGCGACGTCGAAACCGGCTCGACTGATTTTTCGGGCGAGATAGGAACCGTGCGAATCGTCGTCAACGGTTTTTTTTTTTCAAGTACACCAGCGGGAACGAGGATTTCTTTCCTGGCGTGAAAAGCCTCTTCTAACCGAATTTCTGAGATCCTTTTCTTGCAGTTTAACATGGTAATGCTCGTAGTCTGTTGTTACCGAACAGAAATTGTTTCCTGAATCTGGAAACTAATCGTTTTGTTGATTGTATTCTAACATCGATTTGCAGTGTAATTAAGTAAACCTTCGCGTGCATCGTACGTTGTTGGTCGCAGAGAGAGAGTATCGTTACCTGCGGAGGCGTATTTCGTCCAAAAAAAAAATGTTGTTTAACCCGTTCACTGACCTCCCTCATTTATCGTAAGTCCGAGAGCATGCATGTTACGTCGAGCCTGACACTCACCTCGCAAATCTTTCTTTGTCCTGTACATTCTCGTCCTCCTGCCTTCTATATTTACACAAGTTGGGATCATCTTCGTCCGATCTGTAATGAAAACATCCAGTATACTCATTTGCTACTTCTTACGATCAATCGGTTAGTCTTAGTTACAAATCGTTTGAATAAAATGTTCATTAGTAAAATCGTGTGGCGATTGCTGATCGAAGGTGATGTTCAATCACACGAATTTCTAAAGACGATCGGTCCGATCATTCATGTTCCTAGAACTTTTCTTCTTCGACGCTCGACTCGTTCATCAGCCACTCCGGCTGATAAGACATTCCACGAGCGTCGCGAATAAATGTCGCGTCGTCGATACGCAAAGTGTAATCACTTCCGGATTACCAAACGCGAACGGCTGTTCATACAGAATTGGCGGTCGCCTATCCAACTTCCCCAAATCTGGAGCGTCGTGTAACAGTAAGTCGCTCATGCAATATTCACGGCCGACGGTGCTCTATAACGCGAGCCCATGCCAACTGTGTTCGCACCTGCGTTCAACTCTCGACCAACTAACGAATCACCTAGACCTCTAACATCGGGATCTCCTTAATCAAACGGATCCAAAGTTCGTAATAAAAACGAAAAAGAATGAGATTTAACGATTCTTCCTTTTTAGAAGCCCATTCTAATCGATCTGATCTAACCCAATCGATCTATCGACCTTCGCAATAGGGACTTGAAACGGAGTCACATGGTCCCATCGTCTCACTGCTTCTTTATCTCCATCACCAGAGTCACAACTCAATTTCCAACGGGAGCAGACAAAAAAGGAAAAAAAAAAAAAAAAAGAAACCGCATGGAGAGTGTCGTAAATCCGTCAGTGGCGTCTAGTTACCAGCGTGTTCTCTCTTGGCGCACCAGCGTACTAAGCACGATAGAAAATTATGCTCTCATTGGGGGTACCGGCGGTGCGCATAGAAATCCGGCTGATCGTCAGTCTATTACGGCGAGCGCGGGTGATGTACGCCTCTGACCCTGAGCGAAAAATCCCCTTCTTCCCAGCCGCCTGTGCCCCTACCCTCGCCGTGATCGTTTTTCTCTTTCTTTGCTCTGGTGAACGCCACACCGTGCTACAGGCCAGCATCTTACCCCCACCACTTTGCCCCTCCCTCCCCGTGAGCTTCATGAGTCCCATGGGCCTTAGAGGACGAGGTGGGGGTGGTGGTGTAGGGCCCGCAACGAGTGTATCCGGGTACACCGAGAAGGCTCCGTGCTCCAACCTCCCCACCCCACCCTCCGCCATCTCTCTGCGCCCCTTTTTCTTTTCCCCCTTTTTTGCTCCCAGGGCCCGAGCAGACTCCGAGCGGAACGAGGAGGAAAAGAAGAAAGAGAGAGAGAGAGAGAGACTACGGGGCTTGGAGACTTATGGAGTACATAATGACGCGGCCCCGCGGTATTATGTCGACTTAACAGATACGTATATGCATGCTCGCCGTGGAGAAGACGCGGCGGTGTCCAGAGAGCTGGGACCATTCGGAGCCTTCGGGAGCTGGTTCCTTTGGGAGATTGAGCGATCAATGAGTTTTCGATTACAGGGGGCCTTTGATCTTTAGAATCTTTGTGGCCACTGTGATTCTTGAGGGGTTCAACAATTTTTGGATTTTCGATTCACAGGATTCTCGATAGATTCGCAATACTTCTCGATTAGCAGACAATCCGTGGACGTGTGTATTCCTTCGACACCGATGGACTCTTATAAAGGGTATTTGAAATTCTCAACTCAGAAGAAAAGACACAGATCGAATAGTCAATCATAAAATGCACACGATTACGACGAAGATGAGCCACGTCTAGTCCCCGACACTAGCGAGCAAAAAAATTAAATCCGCGATAAAGCAATCCGGTCACGGAGAAGCGAGCATTTGCATACAATTTCATGTCGTGGTTAAACAAACGCAATTTGACATGTAATTAGATTTTCTCGCTACGTTTAACAGACGGAATCTATGAACCTCGCGATCCCGCGGCGCCCGTAACTCATTGTTTAAAACGTTTAAGATGTATCGTTCTCCGTTTCATGATTTAGTATCTCGACAGAGAAGATAAAAATCGACGTTCAGCCGCCGTTCCCACGGATTCTCGGTCTACAAATTACCGACTGTTCTTTGAAGTACTAGAAATACGAAGATCTATGACGGAAAACAGAAGATCGAATGTTTACAGACACATTTACAAAAACCGTCTGGTGATCTATAGACATTTCTGCGTAAGAATTTTTTTCTTAGCACTTTCTAGGATTATCTATAAATTATCACGTGTGGTAATCTATATAATTGTATTGCTTAACGAGCTCACAAACGTGCAAGCTCGATCGTGTAGAATGAAAAGAGTAAATAGCTTCTCCATTAATCCGGCAACAGCACGTTTCATCGACCATTATCTCGCGGTATAAGGCTCGCAATAATGTCTTGATAACCGTCCCTTAGCAACGTATCGCCGGTCAGTTTTCTTCTATTACTACTACCGTCATTAATGAGATGCGGCGTTACATGCGCTGTAATCAATCTTAACACGCGGCGAATAGCAATCGTTGCCGCGGCTGGATACATCGGCCCGGGACGGTTTTGTCTCGGTATCGATCGCCGAGTTAGTCACTTTTGGACGGCTCGAGACATTATCTAATTAACACTTGCACTTCAAAATTCTACTCACGAAGGACACCTTTCATTTTTACACATATTATTCTTACTTCTACACCTACTACTCTTGATCAAATTTTAACTACTTCGGCTAATAAAAAAAATGTTAAAAGTGGAAGTCAACGAGTAACATTGTTGACCTATAAATCGAAGGATGAAATCTCGTATTAGGTACTTAGAGTTCTCAAAGTGTTGTTTTAAGAGGTATGTTTGGAACCATTCCCCAGAACAACATTTAGGACACCAAGATTGCATGGCCCTGTAACGTACGGATAGATCAGCTTCTTCGTCGAATTGTACACGGCTAGGCCGCAGATATGCGCAAGTGTCCGACTACAGGAAGACTAGGTAGATGTAACACACGTGGACGTAGAGGAATGGTAAACGTAAATGTACAAGGACGATCGCAGACATCGAGGAGAAACGGGGGGAGAAACAGGGGGGTCAAAGTCGTGACTCCCGAGTCAAGCTGGAAAAATGCAAAAAGGCGCCACTGTAACTTGGACACAGCTCCTCTTTCTCGAGATTTTTCTCTGTTTCGTCGATGCCCAAGCGTCATGTTCCTCTGCCAGCTCCAGAAGACAGGCCTAACTGGGGGTTTTACCCGTAGGGTTCATTTTTACACCCCTCTACGAACACTTTAGATCATTACTCGCCAATCGAGACCTGACTTCTGAACCAATTCTGTATCCACTTCAACTGAATAAACATGCTAATTCGTGGAAGTAGTTTTTGGAAATACCTTGACGATTTGGAATAATATTCACCCGAGCAAGGTTGGAGATTCAATCGTCTAATTTAACATTCTTTTTTCCCTGACACCGTATAACTTCCGCGAAGCTAGAAGGAAGCTCTAACAACGTAAAGACGAAGGCGAGGCGAGGCGACACTGCGCAGACTAAGAATCTAACACCTAAGCACGGTAGCGTGAGTTTTTTCATTAGGAGAGCGGCACTGTCGGCGGTGAGTGTTAGCATATTAAAAGGAAAGAGCGTGGCTATTGGCGGGCCCAAGGTACGAGCCCCGCAACAGGAGGCGGTCCATCGTTCTTCGTGCCCGGGTCTCTTATCCGCTCTCCTCCGACCTTATTGGTCACCGCCTCCTCGATCGCTCCTACCGACCCTCTGTGCTGCTTGCACAAAGTTTTCCGCGACTCACGATCGCTGTGATTCAAGAGCAACGAGCTATCGTATCACTGGCTGATCGTCCTCCCTGGCAATCTTCAGCCGCGAGGCACTAATGGCACCAGAATGTGTTATAAAGTAAGCCAGAATCCGTGAAGAAGTTCGCGGCAAAATGACTCTTGAAGATAGTCCAGGAAAACACAGGCAATCTCTACGAAGTGGTACGGAACATCTTGATCGAACGGAGTTACTGTAAAAGACGACAGAATCATGTAAACGAGAGAACGATGCACGAAAATGGGTGGATTTTTGTCGATCATGAAAAAATACTCGCAGTTTACCGAAAGATACAACGATTTATCCCTGGACCGATCGTTTCACGGTAGAATGAAACGAATGAGGAACTCGAACATTCTCACGGCTGAGGAAACCCTTATTGTTTAGGGCGTGCGGGCTCGCCTCGAGCGGAAAGTCACGCGACTGAAACGTAAAAGGAAGAGGAAATAAGAAATCTACTTAATTGCGAAACGCCGTTTGGTACTCCTGTTCATTCACCGTGTAACTGCCTTGTTGTCTCGACCCTTTCGTTACGACTTCGTTCGCCGATGATCACGATTAAGGGCGTAAACGCGTGCCAAACCGCTCTCTCGAACCGACTGGCCGAAAGGACACAGAAGAATGCGTATGCTGATTCTATTGCCGTTTTACAGATGTTATCCATTAAATATCATTACTGTACAGAGTGGTTAAACAAGAATTTCGTTAGAAATGAAAAACAGATTTAACGATTGATGGAAGAAGTGCATTTGAGCCATGAGATTTATAAGCGAGTCCCTCGAAAGTACTATGGAGACTTCAACGCGTGGTAGCACATGTACTCCCAGAAAATACTGCACGAGATTTTGTATCCTTTACACGAGGAACACGTTGAAATCGATAAGTTTCAACGTCGTTAAATCAAGCGATCGATGTTACTTTTCATCGAAGCATAAATATTTAAAGGGGACTTTAGCGATGCAATCTGAATTAACGAGCGTTCAACGAACAAACGCGACGTATTAAGCTTGTGATGTACTATTTTGTGTAACGAGCCCGGGGCTGTGTGAAGATGCATGTCGATATTGTATGACATAAATATGCATTATGTGATGCATGTACCGAGCGTAACTAATAAGGTCTTAATTACGAATGAAAATAATATGCGCACCCGTCTCAGTCTCGAAACATACTTTCTTCATCGTGTGGCCATCCGGTTCAACGCCTCCTTGCGGGACAAGCT